TATATATATATATAGATTCCTATATATATATAGATATAGATATATATGTATATATATATATATGTGTGTGTGTGTGTGTGTGTGTATATATATATATATATATATATATATATATAGGAATCTATATATATATATAGGTCTTTAAATAGGAATATTGAAACTTCTACTACTTTAAAATATATATTGTATATATATATATATATATATATATATATATGTGTGTGTGTGTGTGTGTGTGTATATATATATAATGTATATATAAATATCGTATATCTTATATCGTATATACGTATATCTTATTTGTATTAAAAAGGTTTAAATATTTGTATTTAAAGACCAAAGCAATAAGAAGGTCCAGTATTACGTGGCTGGACATAGGTACTTTTACCTTATCACATATTTCGCAAATGCAGACTATGCGAATCTCGTCTTATCCTCATGAGGGTAAGTCGCGAAACGATGATTCCGACGATTCTCTCGGGTTTATCAATGCGCGTCGTTTGCCCAAAGAGAGACAAAAAGAGAGAAAGAGAAAGGCAGAGATAGAGAAAGAGAGCCGTTGTAATCTCTATAGAATCAAACGTTACGTTTGTTCCAGAGGTGACGATGTGCAACGATCGATCGAGCTGCTGGACAAGGTGCTCTCAGAGTACGACGAGCACGACGCGGAGGGCGAAGGTGGCGGCGGTGGTAGCGGCAGCGGCGGGGGCGGCTGCGTCGGCGGCGGGGGCAGCGGGGGCGTCGGGGATTGCGGCAGCAGCACGGAACCGAGTATTGGCCTCACGCCCGACGACGAGAGTCCGTCCTTAGGTACCCTTTTTCTCGTTTATCGCTTCTCCACGTTTCTTATTTCCTCACGGGACGAGCGCAACATCGACTCACCCTCGCTCGTGTTTACCGAGCGCGATTAACCGACGCACTCCGCGCCCGGAGGAGCCTCCCTTTAATGTTTGATTATTTATTCTTCTCGTTAGGGACTGTTGGTCAAGATAAAAAGGACGAACGATGTTTTTTCAAAGCGTCTCGTCTCGAGGCTCATTCACGAATCTGCGTTTTACCGAACGTAGGAGGTTCCGCGGGCGACTACGCAAGTAATCGCGAGCGCGAAGAGTGTGATTTTTTCAGATTCCTTCTCTTAGAACTTCCTCCAGAGTTTCGAAATTAAAGAGAAAGCGTTAAGAGCTTCAAAATTCTATCCGAGTTTTAAAGTTCTTCTTTCTTTAAAAGTTTAATGCTATTTTAAATTTCTTTCACGCGATTCCTTCACAATTAAATTATGAAACATTGTCGAAGGTAACAGTCGCGACCAGGTCGACGACTCAGACCTGCTCGCGTCTTTATTTGTATTGTCAGACGTTGTGAGAGGCGACGCGCCGCAGGATCTTGGAATTCGAGACTCGTCGAGCCCTCCAGATCCTTGGTCCCTTGGGTGCTTAGCGCATCGAGCCCCAGGTAGACTCTTATACGTGCGAGGCTCTAAATCCTAATCCTAATCCCAATTGTAACGGAGAACGGGTTGAGAGCCGTAAGCATAGCCCTAATATAGATTCATTACCTTGTTCTGGGACAAGTCCCCCAGGATAACCAGGAATTATAGAAAGGAACACGTTAAAAGAATAAACAACGAGCGCGGATACGCCTAGCGAATATTAAATTGGCGATGTAACTCTAGAAAAGTAGGCTGAGTAATTTTTGCTCACTGAAAGTCTTAACCCTCGGAGAAGAGTAATGGTAATATATGGTACGATTAATAGAGATGAATACATGGAAAAATAGTTAACTCTGCGGCAAGAATCTATATGTAGTAGCTAAATTTTACTGTAACATATGAGTATCTAAAAGTATAACTGCCAGTACTTGCAAATTCAAGTGTATTGTTTAGACTGAATCTCTCTTCACACGTCTCTCTTTTTTATCATCTTAAGTTACTTGACACATTTAAACGCGTAATTAACAACGTCTTAAAACGTGTTAAATGACGTGACGTAAAAGTGCAAGAAACGTGTAAAAAGAAGAATCAAATATTTAGCTATGAAACCGATGCAAATTAACGAAAAATACAAGAGAAAGAGTTTCGAGTTTAGAAATTCCTTCAAAGTTTTGAAGAAAGTAGCAAAAGTTCCAGTTACAGCGACAAATACATTTTCAGCAAACCACGGTCGGCTGTGGCAGTGAAATTTTTCTCTTCTTTCCGTGCAATTTTTATTTATTCAAGTAATATCTCAGAAGAAAAAGCAGTGGTATCTTCATTTCAGCGAATGATATAATAAATACTAGAGGGCAAAGCTTTTTCATTATGAGTAAAGGTTACTCACATTACCTTTCTAGGATTAAACGCGCGAGTCTTTATGGTGAAGAATTTTGTCGAGAATTTTCCGTGAATTGCGAGGCTTTGTTAAATATATATACAGCGCCCTCGCGATCTGATTCGAACGACATTTCGTGCGATTTCTTGTGTCGCAACTCGCCTTCATGCGCTCTTTCACTCAGTAGCCGTCGAAAATGCGCACTTAGCGTAAATTTTAACGTTCGTCCTTTACGCGCGATTTCGCGCTACGGCGAGATGAACGTTCACGGCGGAATCGCCCGATATCGGATCGCTGCGAAAATCGACACGGTCATCTCGAGATCACGAGCACACACATCGGCGAGCTCTGACAGACCTTTGACAGCGAGAATTAATTCGATTCTTCTTTTTTCCACGGATACCCGCGTCACGGAACGAACAGTATGTGGAAAACACCGCGAATCAACTATCCAGAAAATTTGGAAAAAAATTTTCATTTGGCGGCCGTGTTTTATTTTGTTTTACGCGCGTCGTGCACACTATCGATTCCGTAAATTCCGTGGGATGCAAACTTTTGCATCATTCTGCGCGCGAAATACGAGCACGTCGCCGCGAATCGACGCTGCAGCGCTCATAGATCTCACGTGCGTGTGTGCGTGCGTGCGTGCGTGCATTATCTATCGCGGTGATCGCGTCTATTTCCTTTGGAAACTATCACCTCGTGACTGACTAATTAAATCTCATCAAGAGCGATATGAACAGCGTTCGCAGAGAATCGCGCGTGACCGACGGATTATTGACGCACGAACTGTTCCTCGCTCATTTATCATCTATACGTTCATTCGCATTCTCCTCGGTGAGCGCCGCGCGCGCCGTTACGTCGCGATTTCTTGCGCTTTCACGCAAATGTCGAGATAGCCCGAGCGTTTGAAAAATCGCGACAAATGATCGCCACTCGCTGCGAATTTTCGCCGCGGGTAGAAACGTCGTCCGCTCGCCCGAACTCGCGGCGAGAGAGGAAGCACCGCCGCTTTATATCGACAGGGGGAAGATAGTAAATTTCCCCTGACAACCGAGCACGCCTCTTTCCAGAACTTCGCACGCTATTTCCGCTTCTCTCTCTCTCTCTCTCTCTCTCTCTCTCTCTCTCTCTCTCTACAGATATCTGCTCGCGCGTTTGAAACGGCACGAAGTTCCAGCGCCGATGCGAGTTGCCCTGGAAAGTCGTTCCGGACAACACGCGCCACTCGTGTGTGTTTCTATATATGTCTCTCTCTCTCTCTCTCTCTCTCTCTCTCTCTCTCTCTGTATATACACGTGTGTATACAATGTGCGATTTACGTGATTTAACTCGTCACTCTGCCGACTAAGATATTTAACTTTCCTGCAATCCCCGTCTCTCTTTCTCTCCCCTGCTTTCTCACTCTCCCTCGTTCGCTCTCTCGTGTACGTTGACCCAGGCAAACTTCCGTCGTGGACTCGTAATTGTAGGGCGCAATGTACGATGCAATGTGCACGATGCAGGTTGCACCAAACGCGACACAGCTTGCGAACTGCTACTCTACTTTTGATTAGAGTGCGCAATTAATCTGATTAAAGGACTCACGCCCAACGGACTACTTGAATGCGGCTCGTTATTTTGCCGACAAAGTGATACACGACAGAGACGATATGTTTTTATAACTAAGTATGGAACACTGCGAAGCAATTTCTCTATATTATGTGCAAGAAAATTTCTCGATGCGTATCATGATAATATTTCTTTTTTATTGAAAAAAGGATGACGTTGCCGCTACTTCTATTTTTTGCAATTAAAACTTGGATTGCTTCTTATAACATCTTCGAATCTGCATCTATTGACTGCTCTTTCGCAATGGTCTTCTTATGATATGATTGACTTAACCCTTTATAGTCGTGTGTCAAGTTCATCTCAATATCGCGTTTCGTTCAAGTTTATAAACCAACTTTTTATTCATTAATAATATATTCGATATAAATATATTTATATTAACCCTAGAATTTATGTCCTAAACATTCAAAAATGATATAAATATCCCTTAAATATGGATAAATTTCACCAAGCGCATTTTTTTTTGCCCACAGCTTCCGAAGAAATTATCGAAATCTAATGTTTTTTTTTTTTAATTAAAATAGAAATCGTCGAGAAATACGATTCTATTAATATTTCTAGCAAAGTTGACGAAAGTTATATTAAGAAAAAGAATAAAATACGTGTTTTTAAGAACTGTAACATTTGAAAAGTTGGTCTGGATAAATTTTGTCCACGTTAAGGTTCTAGGGTTAATATCGTAAATATATTGTTGCATTAATTAAAAAGGAAATATTGAAGTAAAGGCAAAGCACAATAAGACACGAAGTAAATGAATTCCCACGGATAGAGAAGAAAAGTTGAAAATAATTGGGATCGCGAAAAGTTAAATGCCTTGTCCTAGAAACCGCGCAACCACGAAAACATTTCGCGGCGATATAACCAACCGAAATGATTCACTTGCTCGGTTGCCTGCATCTTCGAGCCGCAATAACTTCATAGTTACGCGGCTACCACGATCCCGCGCAGTCGTAAACCGAGAGTCAACATCTCGCCTGACTGTCGTTTCCGATGCGACGACTACGGACTTTCCTAGACATCGTTTGAGAATGGCAGCTTAAGTGATTCCGCCGTGAAACTCTCTACAGAGATAGACCAATGCGCGGTCATTATCACAGAGATCACAAGTGCGACCCTCAAAATAAAATAGTTTGCCTGTTACCCCGCGAACTGTTGACACCGTGAAAATATTTTGTTGGAGAGTTATCGCGGACAAAAATTCGCCAAGATAAAAATGGCGAAAATATCTACATAATAAAAATGTACGACCGATTCTTGGACGATTTGCACGGAATGTCTTAGAATCGTTGCTTCGATTTCTCTTAATTACACTGGGAAAAAAATACTTGAAAATTTATTTATGCACGGACGAAACAACACCGTTAGTGCGATTAGATTTTCTGTTACTTGGGGATCAGATGAAAAACTCGGTTTAAGAACGGAAAGATTCCTGTGGGAGGTTTCTACTCATCAGTCAATTACTCTCAGTTATCTCAACCGAGTTTTAACGCGGCTGGATGTTCAGACAAATGCTTTCAGTCGCGGTAACAGAGATATCATTTTTCGTCAGTGAGTTTTTCGTTTGGTCCCCCTCCCCCTATTCAGTTACCCGAACTGAAATCTCTTGTCCGCGTGGAACGAAAGATTATTTCACAGAAATCAACTTTGTATATCAGAAATAAATTTTCTTTTCTTCCCAGTGAAGATATTCTTCTCTCTCAAGTGTTTAAATAATTTCCTTCTAACTTGAACGCAAATCTGATCACATGTGTTGGGCCTGACGTGTATCTTATAATGATGAAATAGGCTCTCCCGGATTTCAGCATGGCAACAGAGCTGTTCGTAAGAACGCGCAATTAATTATTTCCAGTCCCTTTTCATTCGACCCCGAACTTTGCCTTTACCGTCACTCCTGGCCGTTCCTTGAGGTCGTTCGCTTTATTTATACAACAATCGAGTAATTACCGTGCTTGTGATCATACTGGCGCGTGCGCCGGTATCTCCTTAACCTTTGAGACAAAGACCACCGGCCTTCGCAAAGAATCGTGGATCAAGGAGCGTAATTGGATCTCATATATGCCGTTTCATTCGGTACCTGCATGGGAATAGGAATAAATGCGCTTTTACCGGGAGCGCGCGGCCAGGATTTCGTGATTGTGTTTAAAGCCGTTGCGTATCCGCGTAATTAAAGCTGTCTTACCTGAAGCGGAGGAGAAATGAAGCTGCTTACAATTACCGAGCGGGCAATTACTGAGCGGCGACGCAACTGAAACTTTCTCATGCGCTGGTGTGTGTTTCCTTTTCGTTAACTCGAGTGTTCGAGCAATTCATGGAGATATACACGCGCGCGCGCCTGCAATAAATTGATTTGTACGTTCTGTACTTTCACGACCTCACCGGAATCTCGTCGTTTGGTTTTGACCCGCAACTGTCCGTCGATGAACGCGATCTCTCTCTCTTTCCTTCTCCCCCCCTCTCTCTCTCTCTCTCTCTCTCGATGATTGAAATGAATTCTACGCTGTGTTTATTTAAAAAACATAACGCGCGGGCGAAGTTTCCGATATCCATAACGGTCGACAAATATGTCTGTCAAAATTAATGTCATGTGCACCATTCCAAATTTGCAGGCCGTATCACGCGTGTTTCGCGCACAACCCAGATTCGAGCAAACAATTGGACGAAAACTCGGTTAACCATTTTCAGGTTCAAACGAACAAACAAACACACAAGCAAACAAACGAGGTCGAGCTTAATTTCATTTATACACGCGGCACGGTTAAACGTCGACGACTTTCTTTTTTTTTTTGCATGAGTATCGAAACGAAACCTCAACGACGCGATGACATCTGCCAAATTAATCCATTGTGAGCGTTTTTATCCGCTGGCACATATTCCCTCCACTGCGTCAAGTGCCTACTCGAGAGAGAGAGTTGGAAAATACCTACAGCTCTCGAGAAACACTCGGAAGATAGCTCAGGAGATACAAAGGATAATTCCTCGCGGATAAAAAGACAATTAGCTGCGGCAGTAAGAACCTGCGTGTGATAGTTAATCTCGTAACAATCCGAGTCCCGAATTTGGAACAGTCACCGTTATTAATTGATTCTTTCAGCGAGATTTTACTGATCGCATTACTGCACTTATAACTGAACCATCAGTTCCAAGTACAGCATTACGATGAAGAATTTACTGATTGTACTTTAGAGAGCGCTTGCATAAATATCGGAAGAGGCGGAGGAAATTAAGTAAGTTCTCGCGCGGGAGCGTAGAGCGTGGTTAAACAACTCATAGAAAACGCATTGCGCGAGCTGATGTTGGAAACAAAGGAGCAGGGGAGACACGGGGGAGGGAATGGAGGATTATCGTGAGATGGAGCCTCTCTCGATCTATCGGACGGTGGCTCGTCAGGCGGTCGAGACTTCGCTGTTTTTCCCGCGACTGGGATACATATTTTCCTTTTATTTCCATCTCGAAACGCTTCTACGGCTGTACAATATAAACCTGCCGACTTGGCGGACTGCCATTCAATTCGCGGAAAATTGGCGTGAAAGCATGTACATTTCTGCGAGAACGAGAGCCGGCAGAGAGGGAGAACGAGAGAGCTGCTGAGGCTGCTCTCTCGCACGTAGTACACGGTTCACTAAAAATTCAAATCGGCATTTCGTCCGACAACACGCGACTTCACTCGCTGCACGCCAAAGAGAGGTATCTGCAAACGATCGCGGCTTATTAACGAGTGATATCTCGGCCCCGAAAAAGAGTCAGGCCTGCCAGTTGAACGCATGATAACGCTTTCACGCGAGAATAGAATAATTTTTTACGTTGTTAGGGAAACATTCTGCATTGCATTGTCGATTAATCGAGCATACCATATCCTGAAATACGACGTCCTAAAGTAATAACAAACACTGCAATAAAGAGAATAAACAATCATAAATTCGCTCATTAATGCGTGTGTGCACTTATCACCGATATCGCGCCAACGCAAGCGTTTGGCGTGATAAGATACAGAAAGATCAGTATGGTCGGCCCAAATCTGATTGTGCCAACCAGATTAAGTAAAATGCGGAACAACTAATGATATGGTTGTTACAATCACAGAACAATTGTTGAATTACAGTGACGATACTTCTGGTTGCTTCAACCTGATTGTATCCATCGTATATGTCACCCGAATCGATTGCCACAACCAAGTCATGCGTAATTACATTGACGCAGTTGATGCACCAAACTGACTCGCATCAAGCATACACATTGCCGTCACACAACTAAGGTGCATCTATCTATGTTGATCACAAATACTTTGTTTACGTGCACTATATCTTTTTCTTCCGTGTAGCAAGAAAGAGAGGCATTGAGTGAGTTTATTATTGTCTCTATTATTGCGTTTGTTATAGTCCTAAGGTATCCTCTCTCAAAATATTATAACATACAATGATTATGTAAAAATCATGTTCGATTGATCGATATAGTGCAATGTAAACATTTTGGTTAAAGCACCGCCACATCTCACCAGTAGTTAAAATAATTAATTAAAAAAATTAAAGTTGCCATAAAGACTCACAGTACAATATTGAGGAAAAACGATCAAAGAGCAAAGAGAGGGCAAATAAATAAGGAAAATGAGCAAAAAAGCAGTTCTCCACACGTCGCGATTCGCCCGTCAAGACTCGTCAAGACAATTCGTTGAATAATCCATTTCCATCGTTTTGTTTTTTTTCGCGAAGAAAAAACCCTTAACGAGATATTACTCGAGTTGTGTGCTGTTTGATGCTTTATCGCGCGACACAAACTTTTCGTCGCGTATTACCAGGATCGCGAGGACGGAAGTAATGCAATTTCTCGCTGGACTGAAACTGTTCGGAAAGAGTCGTAACAGGAACGCCGCGTTTAGGATAAAGTCGATGTTCGACGGATTAAATCGTCTTCTCTCCTTCTCTTTTCTCCCATTCCGCGACCGTCGTCGTTCTGTCGGAGAGTTCACCGTCGTAAAACGTATGCCGGCAGGACACCAATCCGAGGACGACGGTTACATGAGCATGAATGGTCGGAAGGCGAAGATGGCACTGGTAGCATTACGTCCGGTTCCGGACTGTCCGGAGCCGCAGGATCTTGCGGGCGTTTCCACGCAGGAGTTCCCGCCGCCCCCGGAGGAGGCCGAACGTATTATCTCGACTCTTCTGCCGATGTAAGTACCACCTCTCTTCACTGATAATCACAAAATAGACATTACACGTTTCATCTCGAATTTGTCGCCCCGAGTCGAAATTTTGATCCTATTTTCAGCCTCTCTATTCCATTTAACACCTATTTTGACACCAAAGAAAGTGAAAAGGAAAATTTCGGACATCATCAGAGCCAAAGTAAATTGTATCATTAGAACTAAACCTACTTTGCTAACTTAGCTCTTACTGCGTTGTAGAATTCAAGGTTTAACATAGGACCAAAACTTCAACATCAATTTTCGTACGTTTTCGCTACCACCGTTTATCTCGCGAATTCTCTGACTGTAGATCATATTGCATTTGTGTTTGCGTAATTTTAGAAAGGTAATTTTACATAATTAAATCTACAAATATCAATTTACGTGGTGTATACTCGTGGTTAGGTAGGATGTCCGTCGCTTTTTGTGTGAATTCCGGAATGTTTTGTACGATGGCAGAATGCTTCCATTGGAAAACAAATTCTCTTATTGGAGAACATAACGATGCGTTTCGATAATCGCACAAGATATAGCGGATAGCTTGTCTAGCCGCGAGTATATACATAGCGCCATGGATGCCCTGCAATTCCCTAAATCGAGAGTTACACAATTCTCATACGTCTACGAATAAGCTTGAAACTATTATAATTAAAGCCATTATAACGTTACTATTATAACTAAAGTTACTTACACGATTTTCAACCTTAAATTTAAATTATATGTAAGATCGAAAATTTTATAAGTCTCGATTTAAAGAATGGTAAGGCATCCATGTGCGGCACACTCGATTTGCGCCATTCATCGAATGACATTGCAACGCTTCAAGTTGTCAGAAAGTCATCGTTGATATGTATGCACAGTATAATCGCGGTTATAAATATATAAAAATTATACTCCCAAAAATAGCGTTCTCTCAATTAAGAAAATAAACCCTCTCTTCCAAATGTCACAGATGTCAGTCTCTGTATTGTCACTCTTCGGCTTCTGTCATAACCGATTACCGCGCGTACACATCAGCAGTGATTTTCAAAGCTGACAAACGTTGCAATTCCGTTGGACAAGAAATGTGCAAACCGTTCAGCGTACATAGCTCGCGTGTCACAAAATCGTGATAACATTAATTCCTTAAATCGCGCAACCCGCGGTACTCCAATCACGGAATATCGATCGCAAGTATCGGGACGACTTTTGTAAGTTCTTAAGCAAGGCAGTGTCGAAGTTGTCGAGCTGAAATTCAGGAACTAACTATTTCTTCAAGAAAAGACCATTCATTTTGTCATCTCTCTTAATTTCACGGCGACATCGTTCAGTCGGCGTAAATGAGAAATCGCAAACGTCGATTTGCCGATAAGTTTATTAGTCATCCTAAGACCGCGTGTGACTCGTGGCTCCTCCAATAAAGGTATCGCCCGGAGGAACGTGTCTTGCCTATTGGAAATGCCGGCGGGAAGCATCAGTTTCGCCGTTTATCGGCTGGAAACAAATCAGTCAAGAGTCGAATGTCGATCGACCGGTTCGCCGTCGCCCTCGCCGTCGCACGTCTTCATACACTTCGCCCGTATACAACGTCTGTCAATAGACATGCGCGTGGTCCTTCCCATTGAATTTCATTTGACTCCCGACACACTCCTCGTAGCACTCCGGTTGTCGTCGGATTCGTCCGATAGCAAAAGTGTAATATTGACAGACAACTCGACTCTCCTGCGTTATAAATATACGGAGTATCCCCCGAGAGGAGCGACGGCAACTGCAACGATGAATTTGTCGATTCCATGCGACAGTGTACGAATTAATAATGTTGTCGATTTCATCATTCGAACAAATTGCTCTTCAATCAAGATATAAACCCACGCGACTAATTAGGGAGAGCCGCCGAAATCGTACCGCTCTTCCTAAATCCTACCTCATCGATTTTCTTATTATTATTGAATGTAAACCACATCTAACAATAGAAAATAAGAAATAATTGAAAGCAATGAATAATGAATAAAATAGAATATTTTCTGATTATATTTTACTTTGCATGTGTTAAAATTTAAAAAATCAGGTACGATTCCGACAGCTCTCCCTTGCAGCATCTCGCGTTTAATTTCTAGTAACTTTAAAATTTTAAATTTTTTACTTTAATGTAATTTTAATATTTTACTCGGAAAACCTTGCTATACACTTTTGTTGTGATCCTCAGTCGTCGTAGTTGGGTACTCGCCAATGTCGATTTACGAATTTGTAGTTCCTTTTTCGAAAAATCATGAGGCACCAGTGGTAATTCTCGAGTTACAAGTGCGTTACAACGATAAGGAACTCCGCGCGCCGTCAGCTCTTAAAGTGTAATAAAAGTAACAGGATTCCACGTTTCGGTGAGATCGAGTGGACCTTGCCTCCTGGAGAATCTTGAAAAAGCTGCACAGCGGGCTCATGTCTTCGTAAGCGGCGCCGGGATTGACAAATCACATTCGCAAATCCGCGGCGTACTTTCGGGACAGCGAAATCGCGCGTGGAATACTATACCCGGCCGCGCGCGACTCTCTTTATCGACGACAGGTGCGGTGCTATAAATAATTTCGTTCACGTACCAGACGGCGATAGCTCACGCTCTTAGAATTCTCGTCCGGGACGGTCGAATCGTCGCGTCTCTCTCGCTGTCGTCCTTCGCGCACCTGAGGAACATTCGAGGTCCGCGGACTTCCGTTTCTGTAATGAGAAGCCAGCCTCTGGTCTCTCTCTCTCTCTCTCTCTCTCTCTCTCTCTCTCTCTCTCTCT